ATTCTGCAGGTTGCGGAATTACTCCTCCACCTGCTTTTTGCGCTTGCGTCAGCCCGTCTCTCTAGCTCGCTTTGGAGCGTTCTTAGGGAGATAGGGACGTTTTCTGTTCTTTCACTCGCCAGTCCAACGCCTTCCTTTGCAAGTTCGCCCGCGGTTTCGTTACCGTCTATGCCTTGGTGGCTGGGAACCCAGTAGATCCTCACTGACTTAGTCGTGCATAGGATATCTAGTGACTCCCTGCTTGCCAGTACATTTTTGGAACTGACCGCTGATGATTGCATGGATCTTATCGCCGCTTGACTGTCTACGAACAAATTGACCGCCTCATGTGGACGGTTTATGCTCTACGCAAGCTCTGCTGCTTTCCTGATGGCGAATACTTCCGCCTGGAATATACTGCAGTAGCTTGGTAGCTTATACGACAGCCTCATTTCAGGGTCTGAACAGTATATGCCCGCTCCAACTCCTCCTTCCATCTTGGAGCCGTCGTTGTATATATTGAGGTGTTGAGCAGAGTCCTGGCCTGACTTCCAGTCATTTGGTCCCATGAATACTGTTGTGTTTACATCCGGGCACGTTCTGTGTATCATGTAGTCAGATGTACTGGTCATGTCTCGACCAATTGAACTGTGCCCGAAACCTTGTAGCGACCAGTTTCCTGATGCAACCAGACGTTGTGCCGCCTTTCCTGCTGTCAGTTGCGCTTGGATATCTAGGGGATATATACCGATTATGGTTTCAAGTGCTTTGGTGGGGGTTGACCTCAGCGCCCCTGATATGCAGAGCAGTGCCTGCCGCTGGGTTCTCTCCATAAGCTTATTATACGTTTTCTTCTCCGTGGCTTGCCACCACACTAAGACTCCATACAGCAGAGTCGGACGCACCACCGATATGTAGACCCAATGCATTAGAGCGGGTGAGAGGCCCCATGTGCTGCTAAGCATCTTCTTGGATGCATATAGCGCTATTGGTGGCCTTTTTTTACCCTCTATACTACATTGGCTCTCCACGTCAGCTTGCTGTCAAGTACAATGCCGAGGTATTTGACTTGTGTTTTAGGGGTCAGCCTGGTTTTGTTAATTTTCGGGGGATCCATTGCGGCACCTTGTATCTCTTGGTGAAGAGAATAAGGTCCGTCTTATCCGCATTGATTTTGTGTCCTACCTTCTCCGCCCACTCACATATCTCCCTGAGTGTTGTTTCCATGATCGAGCTGAGGGTCGATGGACAGACTCCCGTGATAATTATGCTTATGGTGCTTTCCTCTCGAATCTCTTGATTAGGTCGTCTACAACCAGATTCCATAGGAGGGGCGACAGAACCCCACCTTGCGGCGTGCCTCTGTGCGCTCCTCTCACCATGGAAGCGGTGCCCCAATCTGATTGTACCCGCCGGCAACTTAGAAGATTTTTTATCCACAAGTTGATAGCGGGGGACAAGTTGGTCGCTTCTAGGCGATCCATTATTGCGTCCGTGCTAACGTTATTGAATGCCCCGGATATGTCCACGAACACTCCAAGTACTCCTTATTGTTTAGGGCTCTCTCAATGGTGGCTACCAACGAATGTAGTGCCGTCTCCACTGATTTCCCCTTCGTGTAGGCGTGCTGGTTGGTCGACAGTTGTCTCCCTACATCGTTCCTGATGTATAGGTCCAGCAGCTTTTCCAGCGTTTTAAGTAGGAATGAGGTGAGGCTTATCGGTCTGTAATCCTTGGGGCTCACGTGGCTGCACTTTCCTGCTTTGGGCAGGAAGACAATCCGAGAGGTCCTCCATTGGATAGGGATATAGCCCGTGCTTAAACAAGCTGTATATATTGCATAGAGCCATGGGGTGATCACCTCCTTGGTCACCTGCAGCATGGCTGGGAATATTCCATCTGGTCCTGGTGCTTTTATCCTCGCAAAGGAGTCTATAGCCCAGTGGATTCTACCAGAGGATATTAAACCTTTTGGGAGATGCTCTACTCCAGTTGCTAGGTCCTGGTGCTTATTTGCATCGGGTACCTCAGAGCATCCTGGGAAATGCCCGTGCATTAGTGCTGTTAGGGCCTCTTCGCTGCCCTCAGTCCACTGTCCGCCGTCGCGTTTGAGCTGACTCTGTATGGTTGGCTGCTTCGATAGCAGCTTCCGGAGTCTAGCTGTTTCCGGGGCAGTCTCTATATTGGAGCAGAAGTTTCTCCATGAGTTTCTCTGCGCCTTTCGTATTTCCTTCTTGTAGTCCCTAAGTAGGACTTTGTATTCCTCATTGATGATGTCATCTTTCGCCTGCTTAGCGATTTTGAAGAATTCTTTGAGTTTGACGCGTGGGAGTGAAAGGTTCTTATTCCTCCAGGGTTGCCTGGTCCTTGTTCTCGTGTCCGATATAGGGCATGATGCGTAGTACGCATCCAGCAGTTCTTTGGATAGGGTCTCTAGGGACTCTTCTATGTCTTCCGCGGATTCTACTATGATCGGAGAGATCGCGAGCCGTGTCGCGATAGTCTCCTTGAACTTTCCCCAGTTAGTATTCCGGGGGTACCTGAAGACTGATTGTTTTGGAGAGTGTTCGAATGCGTATTGTATCCGTATGTACTTGAGATCTGAGAAGGATGGTCTCTCAAGGACTCTCCATTCTAATACCAAAGTACCTTGTCCCCTTACCAGAGAAAGATCTAGCACGTTTGAGGAGGTGGGACCTACATAAGTGTGTTCCTCCCCCACGTTTGCTATACTCAGGTTGGTTGAGAGTATAAAGTCTAAGAGGGACTCACCTCTGTCGTTTATGTCGGGGCTCCCTAATACGCAGTGGTGCGCGTTCGCGTCTGCACCCACGAGCAGTTGCTGGTCCTTCGGGCTGGCTTCTACCAAGCTCATGAGTTCTTCTGGTGGGGCCGTCCTGTCGTGTGCCATGTAGCAGGAAGCTACCAAAAGGCGCTTTTTCCCGCTCTCTAGCATCACCACGGTCAGGTCATCAGAGCTGTAGTGACACATAAGGTTAGCGTGTAGACCCTTCCGTACAAGTACGGCGATTCTATTCCTGCTTACCGTTGGTGGATGGAGCAAACTGTAATTTGCGGACTTCAGTCCGGCGATGGTATTGCCTGAGGCGATCCATGGCTCCTGGACCAAAGCTATGTCGGCGGATCCTTGCTCCATGGCTATGAGGAGTTCCGCCGACGCGACCTTGCTCTTATGGAGGTTGAGCTGCAGCACCCTGAGTGTCATGGGTACTGGCCTCACCTCCATACGACGGGTTGACTACTACGGTCAGGTCACCGTCCTCTCCTTCGTCGGACTCATCCAGCGTAATTTCCCGGTCGGCATCCACGATGGTTTCCAGACCTAGGTCCTTCTTCACCAAATCTGCCTTCAGGGTGTGAGCAACCTTATCCCCGGGGTGGCGCTTTTTGAGGCGCAGGTATACGCTACCCATGCCCCACGCCATCTTCCCGTATCTGGGATAAAGGATGTCCTCTGCCTCCTTGTTTATCTGAAGGACTGCACTTTGCCCCCCCCTCCTTGGGTGATGGGGCCGCAACGTGCAGAACCTTCCAGTCCGCGGTTGGGATATCTGGGTTCTGACGCTGACGCAGCTTCAGCGCCCGGTCCGCTTGGATTGCGATGGGGAAGAGTACCTTCGCTTTTGGAGTGGATGGGATTAGCTCCCGGTCCACCACCTCTAGCTTGGCTGCCTCCCACAGCGCCTCCAACTGGCAGACCGCTTGCGTCAGCCACTTTCTCCCCATATAGCCACCCAGCGCCATCGAAGGTGGGCATGGGAGCTTCGGGATCATCCTCCATCCGTGCGTACAATGACTCAACGAGCCGCGCGTGCACCATCTTCCATTGCGCCTCGGTCATTTTGCCGGCTTCATCGCTTCTGTCAATGAGGGCCACGATCAAGTGTCGTTTGGTCACCTCACTGATTTTTGCGTTTTTTTTTTTGGGCTTTTTCGCCATTTGGGGAGGGCCTGCATTCTGAGGCCCGCGTTGCCGCTTGCTCCCCGGTGCGTCCATAGGGGCGCTTTCGGTTTCGTTGCCTTTTGTTGGCAAGCGTCTACTCCACCTTGTTAGCGAATCCGCCAGTCGAACTCATATGTGGGAGTTTGGCGAAGTGAAGCCTCCCTTCAGCAATTTTCTCCTCAGCCCAGGTAAGCTTTGCCTTCTCCTCTGGGGATAGGGCGGCTTTTTCCTGGAGCCGATCCTGGATGCGGAGGGCAGCCTTGTACATCGCCTTGGCCTTCATTCACTCGCTTGACCGCTTTGGCCCATCCCTGCGCTGGGAGCTGGTGCCTGGTTTCGGTGAGTGGAGAAGCTGCACGCTCTCAAGGTCCGAGTCTGTATCGACTATGGCACGTGAGCGGCTCAACTTCCCCTGCGTAGTTTTTTCGGCAGTAGCGTTGGAACTGACATGACCTGCTCCCGTCACATCAGAGGTGTAACCGCTGGCGACACGCAGAGAGGATTGCTCCCCCCCGTGCCCGCCGGTGGTAGCGGTCACGCCTACCACCGACGTTTGCGCTGACATCCCAGCCCTGGTTTCTTCCTTTAAACCCTCCAAAATGGTTTGTTTTTCAGGGGTACCACCCACTTGCGTTTTATGCCTTCCGCCAGGCACCTCCACCCATGGCTAACGGCTCACTTCCTTAGGCTTTTTAGGGCAGAAGGAGTTGAGCCGTGGCCTTTGCTAGACACTGTATTATCGCGGACGGGGCAAGCAGCAATGCATTACCCCTGTCCGGGCTAATACAGTGCCCATTGCCCAGCCGGCACCCTCGGGGAGGGTTCAGATGGAGGATTTTTGCCAGGCCACCTTACATTGTTAAAATGCATTTAAATTCTTAAAAGTCATTGGCTTCTTTCGGCAACAATAGAGGCATAGTATATTTTATTGTGTATCTGCTAACACGCAATTTACATTTCAGCAAAAAAAAAAAAAAAAATTACACTTTTATAAAATTCATTTTAATTTATCTAATAATGGCTACTTCAATTAATTTTCTTTCTTATTTTTTTTTAGGCAGTACACATTTGAAGCTGCCAAAGTAGCATGTGGAAATGTAGCTGGCCTGTTATCATGGACAATGGCAATGGCGAAATACTTTGAAGTAAATAAAGAGGTCCTGCCGTTAAAGGCTAACCTAGCTGTACAAGAAGCTAAATATCAAAAAGCTTCTGGTGACCTTCAAGAGGCAGAAGATTTACTGCAGCAAAAGGAAAATGAACTAGCCGAAGTGCAACAAACATTAGAGGATGCTGTTTCAAAGAAAGATGCTGTACTAACCGAGGCTAAAAAGTGTCAAGATAAAATGGATGCCGCAACAGCACTCATAGGTGGGCTAGCTGGCGAAAAAATAAGATGGACTGAACAAATAGCTTCTTTTAAAACTGAAACTGACCGATTGGTAGGAGATGTAATCCTTTTGACTGCCTTTTTATCATACACGGGTCCCTTTAACCAAGAATTTCGAAGTGACCTTCAAAGTATTTGGATGAAAACTATTATCGAAAAAATGATACCCATATCGGCAAACGTAAGTATAATTGAAAGCCTTACTGATCGGTCACAAATTGGTGAATGGAATATACAAGGTCTTCCCACCGATGAACTGTCAATTCAAAATGGAATAATTGCTACGAAGGCCATGCGATTTCCACTACTAATAGATCCGCAGTCTCAAGGAAAAGTTTGGATCAAAAACAAAGAGAAACAAAATAAATTAATTATAACTGCCCTAAATCATAAATACTTTCGAAATCATTTAGAAGATTCTGTCAATTTGGGAGTTCCTATTATAATTGAAGATGTTGCAGAAGAACTGGATCCTTGTTTAGATAATTTATTAGATCGTAACCTATTGAAAGTTGGAACTCAATATAAAGTTAAAATAGGTGACAAGGAAGTAGATTGGAATCCTGCATTCAGGTGCTACATAACTACAAAACTGCCAAACCCAGCATACACACCAGAAATTTTTGCTCGCACGTCAATAATTGACTTTACTGTAACGATGCGCGGATTAGAAGACCAATTACTAGGCAGAGTTATTCTTGCTGAAAGAAAAGAGCTGGAAGATGAACGCGTGCTATTGGTCGAAACTGTTACAGGAAATATGAAGAAAATGAAAGAACTTGAAGCTAACCTGCTCCATAAACTCTCTACTACTCAGGGAAGTCTGTTAGACGATGTGACAGTTATTGAGGTTTTAAATACTAGTAAAAACACCGCCATTGAAGTGAAAGAGAAAATTGAAATAGCGAAAGTTACAGAGGCCAAAATTAATGCTGCTCGAGAAGAATATCGTGTCGTGGCTACCAGAGGCAGCGTATTATACTTTCTTGTATGCAGTATGGCAAGAGTAAACAATATGTATCAAACATCACTAGTGCAATTTTTGGAACGTTTTGATGCTTCAATGTATAATTCAGCAAAAGCACATATAACACAAAAACGCATAAAAAGAATTATTAACTACTTGACCTTTGAAATATACCGATACAAGTCACGTGGACTCTATGAAAAAGATAAATATTTGCTTGTTCTTTTAATGGCTTTAAGTATTGATCGGCAGCTTGAACTAATTACTTTTGATGAGTTTCAAACTTTCATCAAGGGGGGGGCTGCCTTAAATCTTAATGATTGCCCCCCAGTACCTTTTCGGTGGATGACTGATGAAACATGGCTAAATCTTGTTCAACTAACAGTTTTGTCTCCTTTTGTAAATATATTGACAAAAGTTAGTGGAAATGAACGAGGGTGGCTCACATGGTACAAAAAAGATGCCCCCGAAAATGAAATTATACCGGATGGATACAATTCGTTAGATCCATTTCGAAAAATGTTACTAATACGTTCATGGTGTATGGATCGCACTATAGCCCAAAGTCGAAAATATATTGCTAATTCATTAGGTGAACGATTTGCAGAGCCCGTAGTTTTAAATTTTGAAGAGCTATTAACGGAAAGTAGGGAATTAATGCCAATGGTTTGCTTTTTATCCCTTGGTTCGGATCCTTCGTCAAATATTGAACTTCTAGCAAAAAAAAATGAACTTAAGTGTCATCCAATATCTATGGGACAAGGCCAAGAGATTCATGCCAGGAAGCTAATATTAGCCTGCTTGGAAGATGGAGGATGGGTTTTGCTACAAAATTGTCATCTTGGCTTGGAATATATGGTTGAACTGACACTTCAAATATTAGACCTTGAGCGCCAAGGTAAAGATGCTGTCGTCAACCCGAACTTCCGCATTTGGATTACAACTGAGCCCCACCCTAAATTTCCTATAACATTATTGCAAATGTCTTTGAAATATACGAATGAACCACCAGCTGGAATACGTGCTGGGTTAAAAAGAACTTATACAAACTTGTCTCAGGATTTTTTGGACTACTCACAGTCGCCGTTTTATTTGCCAGTCATCTATTCAATTTCATTCCTTCACACTGTAGTGCAGGAAAGACGAAAGTTTGGTCCACTTGGTTGGAACATACCGTATGAATTTAATTCTTCTGACTGGTATGCTAGTTGTTTATTTGTTCAAAATCATCTAGATGATTTAGAGCAAGGGAAAGGTATCAGTTGGGTCACAGTGCGCTATATGTTGGGAGAAGTCCAATATGGTGGTCGCGTAACCGATGACTATGACAAGCGCTTGCTTAATACATTTACTAGAGTATGGTTCCATGATGCTCTTTTTGAAGAAACGTTTCAATTCTTTAAAGGGTATAAGGTATATAGCTTTAAAGAGCAAGAGGCTTATTTGTCAGCTATTGACGAAATGCTAAATGTTGACCCACCTCAAGTATATGGATTTCATTCAAATGCTGAAATTACTTATCAAACTAATACAATGAGAAATATTCTAGATGAAATTATGTCAATTCAGCCTAAAGGTAGTCATTATATATTGTACTAAGTCACTTGTATTGGATAAAATCATCTGTTTAAAAATAGTATAAAGTATATGTAGAATACTAATTCTAAAAATAAGCATTGTTGTCGTCCGTCTGTCTTAACGACTTTAATTTTAAAGGTCTTTCTCTAAATATTTTATGATCAGCAAGTAAATCTTGGCCAAAATGAAATAATGCGCTATGAAAAAATAAGTTTTGTTAAAAAAGTTTATTTTAAAAATATGAACATAAAGTTTCGCAGATATTTTTATACCCTTGCAGGGTATTGAAATTTCGGTGAGAAGTTTGAAACGCAGTGAAGGAGACCTTTCCGACCCTATTAAATAAATATATTCTTGATTAACATCAACAGCCGAGTCCATCTAGCCATGTCCGTCTGTCCGTTTCTACGCAAACTAGTCCCTCAGTTTTAAAGCTTTCTGAATGAAACATTGCATTTAGTCTTATATGCTCTCACTGCTATATATGTCGGAACGTGCCGGATCGGACGACTATATCATATAGCTGCCATTCAAAAGTTAGATACATTTCTAGAAAAAAATTGTAACTTGGCTGTTTTTTTAAGATTTTTGTGTAATTTTTGACATATGGCAATTTTATATTATTTCAGAATTTGGTTTTTAATTTTATGAAAATCGGACGACTATATATTATAGAAGCCATAGGAACGACGTATTTTTATCTACTTTTAGAAATTTTTATTATTTCAGAATTTTGGTATTTATTTTATCGAACATTTGTATGGCAGCTATATGCTATAGTCGTCCGATCCGGCCCGTTCCGATATATATAGCAGTGAGAGTATATAAAAGACTATATACAAAGTTTCATTCAGGTAGCTTTAAAACTGAGGGACTAGTTTTCGTAGAATCAGACAGACGGACAGGCGGGCATGGCTAGATCGACTCGGCTGTTGATGCTGATCAAGAATATATACATATATACTTTATAGGGTCGGAAAGGTGTCCTTCACTGCGTTGCAAACTTTTGAGTGAAATTATAATACCCTGTAAGGGTATAAAAATAAAATTTTCGTTTTTCTATTATGATGGAATCTTTATTAATTTACGAAAAATCAAATAATTTTTTTCTATAGCGCATTTTATATAGAAAAATATGAAGCATACTTGTAAGACTATTATGGTATTTTTTTTTTAAATTCTTACGGTTTACAGATGATTTCCAAGGATGCAAGAGAATTTCAGCACTAGCGCTGGATTTAATGTCAGATTTTGTTAATATTGAAAATTTAATTTTATATAGAGTCATCCGCTGGAACTGGGGAATCAAGAGAAGATCGAGTAGCGCGACAAGTCAAGGAAATGTTAAGTAAAACTCCATTAGCTTTTGATATATTCGATGTAAAACAGCATCTTATTGCAATGGGAGCAACAAGCTCAATGAATATTTTTCTCCGACAGGAAATTGACCGAATGCAGCGTGTGCGTGAAATCAAATTGTTTTTAAATGCCATTTTTCTATTTTAATTATTTCTTTATAGATTATAATATTAGTTCGAACTACTTTCAAAGATTTATTGCTGGCTGTTGAAGGAACAATAATAATGAGTGAGAACCTGCGCGATGCTTTAGATAATATTTTCAATGCCCGAGTACCAACTATATTCAAACGTGGTAGTTGGGTATCATCAAGCTTGGGTTTTTGGTTTACAGAGCTCCTCGAACGGCATACTCAATTTTATAATTGGTGCTTTGGATCTCGACCAGTAGTTTTTTGGATGTCCGGATTTTTCAATCCACAGGGATTTTTGACGGCAATGCGGCAAGAGGTAGCTCGAGCACACCAAGGTTGGGCTTTGGATCAAGTAACAATGCATAACGACGTACTTAAAGTTGGACCTGAAGAGTGTAAGAAGCCGCCGAAAGAAGGAGTATTTGTGTATGGACTATTTGTCGATGGTGCTGGTTGGGATAGGCGCACATCCCGTTTAGTTGAAGCAACAAATAAGGTTCTTTTTACATTAATGCCGGTCGTTCACATCTATGCTATATATTCAACAGCCGCAAAAAATCCAAAATTTTATACATGCCCAGTATATAAAAAAATTAATAGAACAGATTTAAATTATATATGTGCTTTGTGGCTTCAATCAAATAAGCCTCCAGACCATTGGACTTTAAGAGGTGTTGCACTCTTATGTGATGTAAAATAAAATAAATTAATTTGTATACCTAAACTGCCTACTTGTTTCATCCATTCTGATTATAGTTTTTTCGACTCATTACTGTTTCGCTCGCCGAATTTCGAATAACTCCTTACTAAGCTATTAACCATGTCGTCTTCAAAATATCATTACTTTTGAAGTCCATTTCATTCCGACATAGAAGGCAGGAATCTGGCAGAGATTCCATCTTAAAATAGGAATAATAGCCGTCAATCCCCATATAGATTAAATAATAGGATTCATATAATAAGTACGAATACATATACATACTTCAAACACCAATCCAAATTGGTGTGTAAATTTCAGTTATCTAACAACAACACTGAAATGTTTGTTTGCCACTCACAGTCCCTTAGACAGGTTTTTATTCTTAGGTATATAGCTCGCTTAGTCTGGAGCGCAAGGGAATATGCAGATACAATTGAGTTCATATACATGTAAGGTTCGCTGACAATTATGAACTTTCCGTTAGCCTACCAAATTATACAGACCGCCTCGGATTTCGGCCTCTTGGTTTAGGGACTTCAGTCGACTGGAACTAAGTATTTATATTTTATGTTTGATAATAAATATGCAACAATGTTTGAAGTACAGTGTGCACTCGATATATCTGCATATTTTAATACTCTTCTAGTTCGTCCTATCTCAGAATATGAGTGTTGAGTTTGGAGCCCTCAGTAAACGCAATCGCAATCGGGCAAAAACGTGCTTGCTGTTATCAGCTTGCTCAATAATAATTGCATGGCAAATTTTCTGAATGAAATAAGACATAAGTTAAATGCATGGGGTTTAGGTAGGATACGGCTTACTGAAATTACAACGACTATTAAGAATTTTCTCACATTCGGTCAACAGGAAGGAGCAGCATATCTTGGTATAGTATGTAGTTGCGACTGAAGAGACTCAGAGTTTATTTTGGCCTAGAAGTATGCTGCAGATCTCAAAATATTTAAGCCCAGCTTTGGGGTCCGGAGTAACGCTAATGAGTTTCAGCTTAAAAGCCGGCAACGGTTTTCGCAATTTTTAAGCCGAACTTTTAATGCACGTGCGTAAAATTCGGCAGCTGCATGTATATATTTTTGCCAGAACAGAATTTGGAAAGCTTCCAATTAGGGAATTTTCTCTGCTACTGAGTCTAAACCTAATTAACTCCATCCGTTTCCGTTCTTATTTCTTCTCAAATCGAAAGCCGATGGAGTGCACAAGTGTTAAGTTGCTTCCAGCAGCCCTAATTTCATTAAAAGTGCTAAGTCCACGCGGACAGATCAAAATTTGGCGTGCAGAAAAGGTTCAGCCGGAGCTCAAGTGATTAAATAAAAGCTGTCTGTGTCTGTATACGGTGCAAAACTCCTTTAGTTGCCAGGTCCCTGAGAAAAGTGGCAGCTAAGGTGGCAGGCGACCGCCTGGCGTCGGCCAGTACCCTACATCGAGAGGTTATATCTGGGAGATCCCTAAATTTTCATCGGGGCCAATCAAAAAGCAGGTAAATATTCTGGGAAAAGTGGTTATATTATTGGTTGCTTACAGTGGCAAATTTATATTTATTATTTATTCGCCAACGGAGGGACTCCTTAACCGGCTACATTAGACTTAAATTAATCCTAAGTTGTGTTGTGTAATAAATACAAATACACTGATAAAAAAAATAAAATCTTCTTTTGAGATTTTGCGCATTCTTCATTTAAAATCTTACTACAAGACCAAAAATACTACAAAGGGGATATTCCAGGGTATATTTACGAACAAAATAATCTACATTTAAGATTTGCACATTTTTTGGCATTCTTAAAAAAAAAATCTTAAAAAAAGACCAAATATTCTTATAAGAAGAAGAAGAAATCATAAAATAATACCGAAAATGATTCATTTAAAAAAATAAAAATCGTAAATTAACCCTCTAGTGCCCAAATTTTTTTTTTTCAAAAAAAAATTATTTTTGGATTCAGTATGTATCAAAAGTGAATGTTTGTTTTGGAAAAAATTTTACTTTTGCTCGGATCGAGTTTTATATGACTAAAACCTTGGACTGCATGAAGGCAGTTCTGGGAAGATAGGCCAACAAAAAATTAGGTAAAAAATTTTTTTTTGTTTAAATGTTTATTATAAATGTCATTGAGACTGTCAGCAACACAGTACAATTTCTTTTTTCTAATTTTTTTCCAATTTTTAAAAAAAGTATTTACATGTTGTATTTCCTACAAAATAATTATTTTGTCCGATTTGCACAAATTTTCAACTTCAAATGAATACAGCAGCTTGCGCTAGCTCTAGTATGGATTCCAAATGCAACGAACTTAATTTTTGGACTTTCCTGAATTAGAAAAAACGGAAAACCGTGTGAAAAGGAATGAAAATAATAAAATAACAGTGTTTTTAACATTGCCCGTCTAGAGGCGGTCTTGGGCACTAGAGGGTTAAGATTTTTGTTATTCTTAAAAATACAGAAGAGTCGGCTTCTAGTGTTGTCTCTTTTTTTCTCACACAAAAATGGAAATCATCATGTCGTCTCGCTCTTTCAATTCGGCACATTTGTGTGTATCCATGGCGTTAGGCGCGTGCTATTCCCGCGTTTCGCATTTACTTATTGTGGTTTGATCGGTAAAGTTATTTTGTGTGATGGATGATTTTACAACAAGAAAGGAAGCTAACTTCGGCACGCCGAAGTTTGTATACTCTGCAGATTGGTTTTGATATTTATATTATAAATTTAAATGCTTAAAACACACAAAAAAACAAAGTTTCATTACATATTACCTATACTTATTATGTTTACAGTTTGACAGTTACAGTTTTACATTCCCAGCCTTACATTTTCTCTACATCTACCGATCGCTCCTATGGCAGCTATATGATATAGTTGTCCGATTTTCATGAAATTTATACCAAAATTCTGAAATAATAAAAAAGGCTTATATCTCAGAGTAGATGAAAATACGTTGAAAAACAACGAAGTTATCATTTTTATACCCTTGCAGGGTATTATAATTTCAGTCAGAAGTTTGCAACGCAGTGAAGGAGACGTTTCCGACCCTATAAAGTATATATATTCTTGATCAGCATCAACAGCCGAGTCGATCTAGCCATGTCCGTCTGTCCGTCTGTCCGTCCGTCTGTCCGTCTGTCCGTTTCTACGCAAACTAGTCCCTCAGTTTTAAAGCTATCTCAATGAAACTTTGCATATAGTCTTCTATATACTCTCACTGCTATATATGTCGGAACGGGCCGGATCGGACGACTATATCATATAGCTGCCTTACATATAACCCAAGTTATAATTTTTTTTCTAAAAATTTATCGAACATTTTTATGGCAGCTATACGATATAGTCGTCCGATCCGGCCCGTTCCGACATATATAGCAGTGAGAGTATATAAAAGACTATATGCAAAGTTTCATTCAGATAGCTTTAAAACTGAGGGACTAGTTTACGTAGAAACGGACAGACGGACGGACGGACGGACAGACGGACATGGCTAGATCGACTTGGCTGTTGATGCTGATCAATAATATATAGACTTTATAGGGTCGGAAAGGTCTCCTTCACTGCGTTGCAAACTTCTGACTGAAATTATAATACCCTGCAAGGGTATAAAAAGTAAAAAAGTGGAGATTGACGCAGCAAACAAATAAAGGAACTTATTAAAGGAAATCAAGATGGAGCGTGTCGGTGTCTACTTAAAACGTGAGTGGGGATTAAAATAATTTCGTTAAGGTGTTAAAAAGCGTACATACATACATACATACATACATACATACATACATACATACATACATACATACATACATATGTACATACTGCGTGTACATACGTACATATGTATGTATTTAACGACAAACTTTTTTCCTGCGTTTCTGCCCAGCCAGAATATGTAATAGGACAACAATAAATGTTTGTATAATTTACAAAAATAACTGCATATATTTAAAAAATTCACAAATACGTTTATATGTGCAAAAACGTATAAAAACTGTTTTCGCTAAATACAAACGCATATACATATGTATGTACATACATACATATGTATGTATGTAACAGTGCTTGCAACCGGCTGCTTGGAAAGAGACGCGTCACTGTTTTATGCATAGCAACAAACTTTAAAATATTAATTAATTATAGTTTTTATTTAAGGGGGTCTTCTCATTGGGCAACTTTTTTTTCGATTTTTTTTTTTTGCATTTAAATATAGTTTGGGATGTTGTGTATATGTCCCCAAAAGGATTTTTAGAAATTCGAAATACTTTAGAAGATACAGCCTTTTTGTGAAGCAAGTTCTTCGCAAAATGAGCTTTTTCAAACTTCAAACGCGTTTATCTCGAAACCACGTTTTTCGAACTGGCGGCCATGATATCTCCAGTTCAACTGAACCGATTTTCATGAAACAAAGTGGAATCGACGC